TGAACCTGAGCTGCTCCACCGTCCCCACCTTTGTCTTGTCCATCACTGCCACCACGCAGGCGAGTAGGGTTTGGGCTGAGCCGAAAGCAGCGTCTGGCTCCATAGCGGGCAGCAGTTACTTACCTAAGCCTCTTCTCCATCTAGGCTTTGGCTTTGATAGAGCTGTACAATGCTCCCGAAGGCCGCTACAAGCAAGACGTGTACTTGCTGCCTAAGAAAATGGGTAAAGAAGTACTCGTTTCCTTCTCTTTTTTTTGGTTTTGAGATTGAACAGATGGGAGGTTTTGCTGTGCTGGGCTGAGGACGGCAGGGCATCGCAGCCTCCTGGGCTCTCTTGCTTGCTTCCCTGCCAACCTCAGGGTCTTCCAGCAAGTTCTTCCCACTGGGTCTGGGCTCTTCGCTAAATTGGACCTGTTGTTTCTCCGTCCCACCTGGGGAAAACAGGCTGACGCTCTTGGCTGACCTCAGGCGTCCATCTGCACTGATGCAGGGGGTTTTCACGTAGGGCTTCTGCCAGCAGAGCTGCCTTCGTTGGCCGCGAAGAAACGTCGTCCCTGACCAACAGCTCTGCCAGCAGAACCCCCTCCTGAGGACACAAGCTATACTGACCACGCTTTTGCTGCAAAACTGGACTTCTTTGTCTTAATTGTGTTTTTTGAGACCAGGTGCAGCTTGTCCCTAGCTTGGGCGTTAGGTGTCACCTACCAGAAATGTCCAGTGGCTCCTGCATCAGGAGAGCATCCAAGCTTGCCCAAGGGTACGGCGTAACACAGCAGCAGACCCGGGAGTCCTGCTAGAAGGGTATTTCAGAGAAAGGTTTGGTTTTCCCCTCTAACTCAAAACAGATGAGAGCCTCGGTTTTCCCCATTCAGTGTGAAAAGCAGTCCTGCAATTTAGCAGCAAAGGCGTGAGGAGTGATGCCCTTCCCAGCTGGGCCTTTAGGGACCTGGTGCGCAGCAGGAGGGGACTCGTTGCCTTCCCCTTCCCCTGCTAACGAGGCTTGAAATCGTTTCAGATGAGTACGTGGCAAGCCTTCACCTCCCAACGTTCGATGCCCACCTGACAGAACTAACGGATGAACAAGCAAAATACCTGGGGCTGAATAAGAACGGACCTTTCAAACCAAACTACTACAGGTGCTGCTCCTCAACCTCTCTCTTCCATGCCATGAGTGTGGGGTACACGTGCGGAGGGGGACGGGGTTTCATCCCACTGCTCCCCTGAGAAGATATCACGGGCTTTTTGATAATTCCCATCGCCATGTAGAAGGTGGTCTGGCCAGGAAGGGGATGGCGTGGTTGGAGCCGTGACGCAGAGCGCTTGGCAGGACACAAGCCCTTTGTATCTGGCAGCAGCTGTCACCCAGACGTGGCAAATGGCAGAGCGATGCCATCTGGCCAACTCGGATGACAGCTTTATTTTTAAAGTTTGACGAAGGATGAGATGGCGCAGAGCAGCGTTCGCCCCTCGCGCTGGGGACTGCTCGGGCGGGCTCGGCTCGATGGCTTTCTTCCCCCAGCACGGGCTGTGCTGATCCCCCCAAAATAATAATAATTTTCAATATGAGCCCCTGGATTGGTTCCCTTTCCAGGCTCATGTTTGTAGCCAACACTGCAACGCATTTTTTACCGTGAAAATGAAATGGCTTTGCACAAACACAGATCAGGGCGGGGGTTGAAGCCTCAATCCTTTTCTTGCAGGAAAAGGCATTGTCTTGGCGCGCAGGTCTTCAGCGCTCACCTGAGAGCAACGCCGCACCAAAATGCTCCAGTTTGGGGGTTCAGTGGGGTTTTTCCAGATCCTGAGCTTTTTTGTTCTTGCCCCATTCTACATGCAAGATTTTATTTCTTCTGGTTCAATTTTCTTTGCCCCGTTTCGGTGTCTGGCTGTAGTCCCGACCTTGCAGGGAGTGTGTTTGTCCCAAGCGCAGAGAAGTCAGGATAAGTAGAAGGTCACGGCAAATTCTCTGCAAATTCCCTGGCTCAAACATCCCCCACGCACCGTGGGCTGGAGATGTACTCGGACAGCTTTGGCTTGGTGTCCTGCGGGAATTTAAGCCTCCAGATACAAAAGGCAAAGATTCAAGTTTTCCAAAGTTCCTTATTTTGATGTGGAGGTGCGTAGGACGGGAGGTGAGAGGAGATCTCCAGGTGCACATAGCCTCTTTTTTTGGATATAACAGGCAATTAGACTTCATCCCTGTGCAGTTCAACAGCTTGTTTCGTTAAAGCACGCACTTCCTTACATGTAGCTTTGTTTGCGATATGAATTATCTGCTTTTAGTTCCCAGTCTAACAGGAGCCTTCCGGATAAATTCAGCCAGTTTGAGCCAGGCTTTGGTGTTTAAGGCGTTTGCTCTTGCACCTTCAGTGCATCCTCCCCGGTTTCTGAGCCAACGTTGCTGCAAACCAGCAAGGCTCAGTCCCTGAATCAATCGGGCGCTGTTGAATTTTCCCCTTCCCGTACTCAAAGCGAGAGGCAGCATTCAAGCAGCGAGGGCAGGCAGCTAAATATAATGTGGTATTTGTGGGGGAGGAGATGAGGACTGGGCCCCTTTCAAAATAATTTCTTCTCTTGGTGTCTACCCCTCCCAAAATACACCTTGTTGATGCTGGGGGAGCTTCGCATCTCTTCCCCAGCAGCTCGCCAAAACCTTGTTTTCTCTTCTTTTCCCCAGATATTAAGTTCCTGCTGCTGTATCCCAGAGAATCGCGAGGAACAAGAACCCAAGTTTTTTCTCGACTACTGTACAGGATGAAACAGCGCAAGCTTTCTAAGTTAGAGCCGGGCTTGCTCACATAGTAGACAGTGTGTTTAGGTTATTTATTTATTAAATTAGAATACTGTACATGCGGCCTCTGCCACTGGTGTTCGTACTGCCGCTGGACTGGGAGACGGTGGATTCCTTTCCGTTTGTTTCATTTTTCTCTTTGGGTTGTTCTTTTTCGGGGCTGGGAAGATGGGGGGAGGCGAGGAAGAAGCTGGTGGAATCGAATCGCTGCGATGTACTTGGAATAGGCCGTTATCACCGTTCATCCGACACGCACGACGGGAGCCGTGGGATCCAGCTTCGAGGTTCGCACGTTGCTTTTGGTTTCCTTCGCATCCCAGCGCTTCTTCCAGCGGAGCAGGATCCCGGCAGCCGTGAGAGCCGGCCGGAGGGCGGCCGGGTTTGTATTTCTCATGCCATTTGACAACGCAGCTAAAAAACCTCGTTTGCTCCAGGCGCTGCCGACCAGCCGGGTGCCGCCTTGGCAGCGAAGCGGTAAATCTCGCCGGCGCTTGCTGGAGAAACCTCTCGTAATTCTGCCGAACTGCCCGAGGGACAGTTCTGCCGGCAAGTCGGTGAACTTCGCCTTAGCACTGCTGAAAGCTGTAACGAAGGGTCCGGTCGTTAGCGTCAGCCTGGGCTAGCGCGCGGTAGGAGCCGGGAGGGCAGAGCGGTGCCCGCTCGGAGGCAGACCCTCACGGACGTGGTGGTGGTGGGGTAGGACCCACCACCGCTCCCTTCTTCGCAGCTCCGCGGTATTTTCCTGCTGCTTACGTTACGAGTGCCAACCTCCTACGGTTCAACCAAAGTCATGTTCCCGGTGGGGCGACGGGGCAGCCTTGCCTGCCCGCGCTGGTGGAAGAGCCTCGCGACCTCGCCGACAAAATGCTGCTCACGTGTCGGGGAGCTCTTCCAAACCCAAGCGGAGCTCGTCGGCCATCCCGGCTGGGAGGACCCGTGTCCACGCGAGGTCTTTCTCCAACTGAATTTCAGTCCTCGTTAGAAATCTTTGGAGTTTTATTTTCTAGTAATATTTGTATGATGAAATCTGGAAATCCCCTTTGAGTGTGAGAGACATACGCCAGAGTAATCCCCACCCCCATTTTGTGCACGGGGAAGAGTTTAGCATCACTAAAAGCCTTCAATCACCTCAAATCTTGATGCATCAGAGCCGATGGAGAACAAATTTGCCATAGTTACTTGTTTTAGCCCAGGATGTCCCCGCCTGAACGCTGCGGACAGCACGGCACGCTGACCAAGGTGACTTTCCAAGTCTCCATGTCTCATCGGAGTCACTTTTATGGTTCACATGGAGAACATGATCCTTCTAAAGTAAAATTGCCCGACCCCGTGAGCTCAAAAGCCTTTATCCTGTGGTTGCTGCTTTGGTGCCCGAGTCCCTCATCAGCTACAGATTCTTGTTTTGTCCTCGCAGACTTCTTTGCCGTCATGAAAAAAACTCTTTTGTGGCAGCTCGTTCATGCACAAGAAAGGAAAAACTGTGGAATTACGATCTCGGTGGCCAAGTACTTCTCGCGGCTCTTGAGGCCGAGGTCTGAAGTCAGCTTGACCCCAAGCTGCTCGTCTTTGGAGCAAACATTCTCGTATGCTTGCTTATTCCAAGTTTCTCTTTGAGATTTCTCAAAGCCTAGAAGTAAGGCTTTGAGAAGACCTTGAGAAGACCTTGAGGAGATGTTAGGCCTTTGAGAAGACCTTAAGACTTTGAGAAGACTTTGAAGAGACCTTGAGGAGACCTTGAGGAGACCTTAGGCCTTGGAGAAGACTCTGAGAAGACCTTAAGCCTTTGAGAAGACTTTATCGTAGACTGATCACTAACCACAAACTCAAAATAATCTCTACTCACTCATGAATTTTATCCAGATCCTGAGATTTTTGGGGAAGACTCCCCTGAACTATTTGAAACGTCACGTTCGGGTCTTTCCCCGCGCTGGATTACCCTGGTCTGCATCAGCCGATGGACCCCAGAGTTTCTGTTGTTCTCTGCAGATGTGCAGCGTGAAATCCTGCTCTTGGTCGAGGTGAAACGCGGTTGCGGGGTCACATTGAGCAAAGCAGCTTTTGGAAAATAGGTGTCCCAACCGCAGCTACTTCTGCCCCGGGAAAATCCCTCTCCATCCGCATGACCCTTCGGTACAGCTCACGCAGTCGCTTACCTCCCCGTGTCCGTCGCTCGTGCAGCATACGGTGGTGCTGTCCTCATCCGTGAATTCCTTCGTGCCGATTTTTTAAGCCCGTTTTATCTTCCAGGTAGATAGGAGGGGAAAAAAAAAAAAAAAAAAAAAAAAATCCCAACTGGCTTTTCCCACCTCGATTTTTAAAGCTCTTCTCCATGTCGTTCTGCTTCTTCTGTAAGCTTTTTTGCTTGCTTGGCTTTTTCCTAATCAATCTGGAATCATATTCTGTAATCATCTCTAAATTAAACGTGTAATGGGTTGGGTTGTTTTTTTTTTTTTTTAATGTAACACATTTTTAAAGAATTAGGAAAAAGGAGATTTAGGTAACACCAGCAAAATTGTATAAGGAAATTAATTCTGTTCTGAACTTTAGAAAGAATAAGACAAAACCTGTCATCAGCCTGCAGCAAGGAAACGAAAACTTTGCAAACGTAACATTTTCAAAAGGATGTTTTAAATATTAATGTCTGAGTGATTGTATTAGATCAGCAATAAAGACTCTGTAATCTCAAAACACAAATAAAACATTGGAAAACTTGGCTTCTCCGGAGAGTCTTTCGGGTCTGGCAGGAGCAGATGGGGAATTTTTTGGGCTGGGGAGGGGGGTACAACGAGGGGGTGAGGGATGGCGATGCCCTGGGGT